TGTTAGCCAACGTGTTTGAGACGTTTAGGCGGACATGTTTCAAGCAGTATAAACTTGACCCCGATTGGTATTACACAAGCCCAGGTCTGTCGTGGGATGCATTGCTGAAAAAGACCGGAGTTAAGTTAGAATTACTCACAGATTATGACATGCACCTATTCATTGAGAAAGGCTTGCGAGGCGGGATCTCCATGGCAACCAAACGATACGCGAAAGCAAATAATCAATACGTGAAGGTCTACGACCCTAGCAAGCCAACCAATCACATTCTCTACCTCGATGCCAACAACCTGTACGGCTGGGCTATGAGCCAGTATCTACCCACAGGGGGGATTCGAATGGGCGTCACCCATTGGTGTTATGAGCATCGCACCAGATTCGAACAAAGGTTATATCCTCGAGGTTGACTTAGAATACCCAAAGGCATTACACACATCACACAACAGCTAGCCCCTGGCCCCCGAACGTATGAGGGTTAACCCAGACTGGATGTCTGAGTACCAACATAACTTGTTAGGTGGGCGGGTGGCAGACGTTGAAAAACTCGTGCCCAACTTAATGAATAAGACCAAGTACATCGTTCACTATCGCAACCTACAGCTGTACCTGTCGCTGGGTATGAGGCTGACCAAAATACACAGGGTGCTCATGTTCAACCAGAGCCCCTGGATGGAGCCTTACATCAGAATGAACACAGACCTCCGAAAGCTTGCCACCAGTGACTTTGAGAAAAATCTCTACAAGCTCATGAACAACTCAGTGTTTGGTAAGACTATGGAGAACCTGAGGAAACGCGTGACCGTGAAGCTGGTTCGGTCTAATGAGGAAGACAAGCTCAGGAGACTGATAGCCAGTCCGGCATTCAACCGTAGCAAGATATTCACCGATGACCTAGTTGCCCTACACATGAAGAAAAGCCACATAAAATTCAACCGGCCTGTTTACGTGGGGATGAGCATCCTCGATTTATCCAAACACCTGATGTACGACTTTTACTACAACAAGCTTAAGAAACAGTACGACGACAGGTGTGAAGTGCTGTACACTGACACAGATTCCCTGCTGATGGAGATTCGAACCGAGGATGTGTACGAGGACATGAAAAAACACCTCGATTTGTACGACACCAGCGACTACCCCAAGGACCATGCAATACACAGTACGGTAAATAAAAAAGGTCCTAGGTAAGATGAAGGGCGAGTGTGCTGGCACGCCCATAGCTGAGTACATAGGTTTGAGACCTAAGATGTACTCCATCCTGAAGGCCGACAATAGTGAGATCCGGAAGGCTAAGGGTGTTAAGAAGTACGTAGTTAAACAACACATCAAACACGCCAGATTCAAGGAAGCCCTGTTCAAGACCCGTACCTTTAGACATAAAATGAACACACTTAGAAGTGATGGGCATAGGATATACGGACTTACTATAAACAAGACGTCCCTGTCGCCGATGGACACTAAACGTTGGATAGCTATTGATGGGATAAACACGTACGCGTACATGCATGAGAAAATTGAACCAAGAACATGGGTGTATGTATAAACAGGATACCCTGCCGGGGCGACATGTCACGGAACCAGAGAAAGTTTGAGGCTATTTACTATAGCCCGCATGGGTACTGGAAAGGAGCTAGCGCTGTAGATAAGCTGGCTAAAATGGCGTGAGTACCCCCGGAGGAGGCCAAAGCATGGCTTGAAAAACAAGCCCTGTGGCATATCTATTTGCCGCCACCACGCTACGTGCCTAGAAGGAAGTTTGGTATTAACATACCCAATAGCATTCACCAGGCAGACCTACTGTTCCTACCCCACGATAAGAGGTACAAGTATGCCTTAACCGTCGTGGACGCAGCCAGTCGCTGCAAGGAAGCCGAACCCTTGACTGCGAAAGATTCTGCCAAGGTAGCCAGAGGATTCGAACGCATATACAAACGCAGTCCTCTGACGTGGCCAACAGAGCTGCAAGTTGACCCCGGGCGGGAGTTCATGGGGGTCGTGTCACAACTGCTAGCCAAACACGATGCAAAGGTCAGGCGTGGCACGGCCGGAGCCCATCGCAGCCAAGCCATAGTTGAGAGATTCAATAGAACTTTGTCTGAGCGCTTATTCGGGCATCAGTATGCTAGGGAGATGGCTAACCCGGGGAAGCGATCGACTGAATGGGTCGCGAGGTTACCTAAGGTGGTGTCGGCAATCAACCATGAAGTCACCCGTCTCACCGGCAAGAAACCGGCAGACGCTTTCAAACTAAAATCAATAGTGGCAGAGTCTGCTGCTCCATTGCATGGGAAGGAGAAACAGATGCCAGATAGGGCCCTAGTGAGGTATTTATACCAGCCGGGGGAACACGAGGGTGATAGCCATAAGCGAGCCACCGATCCTATATGGTCAGTCAAAACTTACAACATAGATAAAGTGGACATGAAAGCTGTCGAGCCGAACTTGTACTACTTGAGAGATGGGCCAGGGAGAGGGCTCGTTAGACAGGAATTATTGATCGTACCGTACGACACAATGTTACCTCCTGTCAACACGGCATAGTGTCACGTGTGGCCGGGAAGTAAACAAAATAATCCCAGTATCACATTAAACTGTTTCCTAGAGGTCAACACAACATATCACGTGATCAGGAAAGTGCTAGTTCACTATCTCAGGATAGACCCGTTAAACCGAGATTATTAAGGTAAGTCCCTGGTAGCTCAATCAGTTGAGTGCTGTACGGCTGGGCTATGAGCCAGTATCTACCCACAGGGGGATTCGAATGGGCGTCACCCATTGATGTTATGAGCATCGCACCAGATTCGAACAAAGGTTATATCCTCGAGGTTGACTTAGAATACCCAAAGGCATTACACACATCACACAACAGCTAGCCCCTGGCCCCCGAACGTATGAGGGTTAACCCAGACTGGATGTCTGAGTACCAACATAACTTGTTAGGTGGGCGGGTGGCAGACGTTGAAAAACTCGTGCCCAACTTAATGAATAAGACCAAGTACATCGTTCACTATCGCAACCTACAGCTGTACCTGTCGCTGGGTATGAGGCTGACCAAAATACACAGGGTGCTCATGTTCAACCAGAGCCCATGGATGGAGCCTTACATCAGAATGAACACAGACCTCCGAAAGCTTGCCACCAGTGACTTTGAGAAAAATCTCTACAAGCTCATGAACAACTCGGTGTTTGGTAAGACTATGGAGAACCTGAGGAAACGCGTGACCGTGAAGCTGGTTCGGTCTAATGAGGAAGACAAGCTCAGAAGACTGATAGCCAGTCCGGCATTCAACCGTAGCAAGATATTCACCGATGACCTAGTTGCCCTACACATGAAAAAAAGCCACATAAAATTCAACCGGCCTGTTTACGTGGGGATGAGCATCCTCGATTTATCCAAACACCTGATGTACGACTTTTACTACAACAAGCTTAAGAAACAGTACGACGACAGGTGTGAAGTGCTGTACACTGACACAGATTCCCTGCTGATGGAGATTCGAACCGAGGATGTGTACGAGGACATGAAAAAACACCTCGATTTGTACGACACCAGCGACTACCCCAAGGACCATGCCATACACAGTACGGTAAATAAAAAGGTCCTAGGTAAGATGAAGGGCGAGTGTGCTGGCACGCCCATAGCTGAGTACATAGGTTTGAGACCTAAGATGTACTCCATCCTGAAGGCCGACAATAGTGAGATCCGGAAGGCTAAGGGTGTTAAGAAGTACGTAGTTAAACAACACATCAAACACGCCAGATTCAAGGAAGCCCTGTTCAAGACCCGTACCTTTAGACATAAAATGAACACACTTAGAAGTGATGGGCATAGGATATACGGACTTACTATAAACAAGACGTCCCTGTCGCCGATGGACAATAAACGTTGGATAGCTATTGATGGGATAAACACGTACGCGTACGGGCATGAGAAAATTGAACCAAGAACATAGGTGTATGTATAAACAGGATACCCTGCCGGGGCGACATGTCACGGAACCAGAGAAAGTTTGAGGCTATTTACTATAGCCCGCATGGGTACTGGAAAGGAGCTAGCGCTGTAGATAAGCTGGCTAAAATGGCGTGAGTACCCCCGGAGGAGGCCAAAGCATGGCTTGAAAAACAAGCCCTGTGGCATATCTATTTGCCGCCACCACGCTACGTGCCTAGAAGGAAGTTTGGTATTAACATACCCAATAGCGTTCACCAGGCAGACCTACTGTTCCTACCCCACGATAAGAGGTACAAGTATGCCTTAACCGTCGTGGACGCAGCCAGTCGCTACAAGGAAGCCGAACCCTTGACTGCGAAAGATTCTGCCAAGGTAGCCAGAGGATTCGAACGCATATACAAACGCAGTCCTCTGACGTGGCCAACAGAGCTGCAAGTTGACCCCGGGCGGGAGTTCATGGGGGTCGTGTCACAACTGCTAGCCAAACACGATGCAAAGGTCAGGCGTGGCATGGCCGGAGCCCATCGCAGCCAAGCCATAGTTGAGAGATTCAATAGAACTTTGTCTGAGCGCTTATTCATGCATCAGTATGCTAGGGAGATGGCCAACCCGGGGAAGCGATCGACTGAATGGGTCGCGAGGTTACCTAAGGTGGTGTCGGCAATCAACCATGAAGTCACCCGTCTCACCGGTAAGAAACCGGCAGACGCTATCAAACTAAAATCAATAGTGGCAGAGTCTGCTGCTCCATTGCATGGGAAGGAGAAACAGATGCCAGATAGGGCCCTAGTGAGGCATCTATACCAGCCGGGGGGAACACGAGGGTGATAGCCATAAGCGAGCCACCGATCCTATATGGTCAGTCAAAACTTACAACATAGATAAAGTGGACATGAAAGCTGACGAGCCGAACTTGTACTACTTGAGAGATGGGCCAGGGAGAGGGCTCGTTAGACAGGAATTATTGATCGTACCGTACGACACAATGTTACCTCCTGTCAACACGGCATAGTGTCACGTGTGTCAAGTAAACAAAATAATCCCAGTATCACATTAAACTGTTTCCTAGAGGTCAACACAACATATCACGTGATCAGGAAAGTGCTAGTTCACTATCTCAGGATAGACCCGTTAAACCGAGATTATTAAGGTAAGTCCCCGGTAGCTCAATCAGTTGAGTGGTGCGGCCCATTATGTATAGTTTGCGCGAGCTATACATGTGGGTTTGTATCCCGTCGTTGCCTCAGTGGATTCCTGCAACTTTGTGTGACGTGAGGTGTTTCGGTAAGGAATCAAGACCATATCAGTTGGGTCGCTGAAAAGGGCTTAGCTGAGCGGGGCACTCTCATGGTGGGAGAAGCGCAACATCATCTTTCGATTTCACCCTTGGGGAATTGTGGCTGCCGGGGACTTTTACTACTTTTTAGAACCTTTCTATCTTTCTATAGGTACAGTAGTGACACGTGTGGGCGGGAAATCAACGGGGGCTCAAAAGTAGTAGATACAATGGTAGCAAGAGCTAAGGGTCCGACCAAAGCCTTATTTGGGAAATAAGGCTTTGCAGAGGCTTTTGTTGGACTTGATCTCGGACTATCATTGTATATACTACTGATGCCCATGCTGTTGATCACTGGATTGTCTAGTCCAGACTCGATTATTTACAGATCGCCACCATACAGCTGGAATATTGGTGAGTGCGGCCTTAAACTAAACTCACTCACTCCACCTCACGCCACCCAACATCACTGCTGTGTCAAACCTACCTCCACGTCACAACACCCCACATCACAACTGTGTCAAACTCGCCTCCACCTCACACCGTACCACTAAACTAACTCACTCAAATAATATGTTACCACACAACTACTGTATGAAACCCACCTCCACGACATACAACTCGAACATCACTACTGTGGGAACAGCCTGGTGCTGTTCCCCAACTTGAGTGGGAACACTCGTCTAGGGAGGTCTCTGTCCCCAGACAATTGACATTGCTCAGCCAGATAAGTCCTTCACCTTGACCATAAGACGTTGTCACATAGGCTGTTGTCCTAAAACAGAAAATCCAAACTAATTAATTGTTCCTCGTTTTCACAACTGCTTAAGCTGAATGCTGAGGAATGAAGCCACTGTGATTTCAAATTATTGATGTATGATTTCAAATTTGACATCAGCGATTGATTAAGGAGCTTGATTATTTACGTTCGCGGGGTGCATGATGACATGAAAACATAGCTACCCCAGAAAATATGCACACATTGCACTGGGGTCCCACATGTATCTAAACAAACATGATCTTAGATCTCTGATGACTGATTCTGTTGACACATGCTCAAGCGTTGCTTGTTTGTTGCTCAAACTTTCAAGGGTCTTAGCAAAATTTCCAAGATGCTTTTCCATCTTTGACTCAAACGAGTCGATATTTCATGTAACGATCAACATTGAAATGATGAAAAATAAGCTACGACAGTAAAATCAAGTCTAAACTCAAAAGAGACAATGAAATGAAATACAGAGAATGTTCGGCAAATTGGCAATATTTAAGTTTCTTTGTTAAACCTGTACTGAGGTCCATTGTTGAAGGTTAGTAAGCACAGTGGTCTTGCTCTACACGAAGGTTTAGTCGTACAAAGATGTATTTACCATGGACGATTTGCCATTTTGCACACAACTTGTGCCTCCTGTGAAGAAAACGACGACCCTCTACAGACTGTTCCCCAGACATTGTTGTGTAGTATTTCTACCCGACCACATCCAGTAGTTGTCGAATTCAAGCGTATTTGAAGATTAGCTGGAACATGCAGAGCAACAATGCAAGAAAAGGTACAAAAACACATAATATTGTACCGTTGTCATCAGAGTATTGGCAGACAACATTACTTACCATTAGGACACTGTATTCGGACTACTGTTGATGACGAGGTAACACTTCCCCAAGGGTAATGAAGACATTCGTTCAGGGAGAGTTCAGTGCCAAGACAATGCACCTTTTCTACGATAACACTTCGTGATTCGCTGCCGGTGTTTGATGATGAGCCAACTGTGGCTGCAATGCTAAATATCAAGGATAAGTGTATCAAACTGTTTTAAAACATTTGTCGGGTTCATTGAAAAAATGATAAAATGTATGTCAAATTTGTATTGTGGTAATATATAACTTATTGAGATGTTTTTCTTTACATAAAGTATAATAACATGAGATGTATAGACTGACGTTTCAGACAAGAAGAATCTCATTATATGTCTTACATGTTGTATCCCAACATTCTGCAGGCAACTGTTGCCTCTTCAACTCCGAACCCAGAGTAGTAGACTCTTCCCCATCGCCCACCATAGTACAGCTCCAGAACTCCTTCTCCTGGCGTGTTGGTGGTGGAGAAAAGTCTTGCTGCTGTAGCCTCTGCAGAAGACATCATGACATCATTTCGACAAATGAATGCTGGTTTCGTTCATAAACACATCCTCATGATATTGACGACAATGCGTTTGAACAAAAATTAGCATTCTGAAATCGATAAACTGTGAACTCGATATTGAACTTTATTGTGTCACTAACGTTAATTAGTGTTGTCCTGAAGTTCACGAAGCAGTTGGGGCATCAAATCAGCCTTACCAAAAGCATATTTACCAGATGTTGAATTTCACTGTGAATGCAAAGGCCTATTTGGAATAAAATCATAATGAACGTGCCACCAAACCCATTAATACAAAATCATAAGCACGTTTTCATTAACCTCTAACAAGCAACACGGTGATGGCAGGTGTTCGCAAATATAGCAAGCATATCATATTCTAAAGATTTTACCTGACGCCATTTTTATAAATAGTATGTGTCTGTGTATGACCTTAAGCACCCAACTAGATACACGCAAGCCCCACCACAGCGATCTCTAAAATAAAATTGTCCTGACCAAACAATCCATTGATCACCAGCAATGTTCCAAACCATACCTTCAGGAAATGAAAAACACTCTACACCAACAGCATCAGATGCGCCACAATTATGCGTCCCCCATGGTCTGTGCTTGCAGTCCTTTAGATCTGTGTTCAGCAGCGTGCACTGGACGTCATCTAGCCACATTTTCATGGAACTGCTTCCACTGATTACCTTTCCTCCTCTGTAAAGATAGAAAGTGTCAGTTTTTAGCAACATTCCAGCATTATCACGACGGGGAGACAGACACCTTTGCAAAACTGAAATATTTGATATTAGTCCCATATCACGAGTTTGGTTTAATTCAGTCATAGAGCCGTGTCATTTTGTCATGCAGTTGGTATATCAGATTGTACACACTTTTAATTAATTGATTTATTTGAATTCTCGGCTCTTAAGCTGACATATTACTTACTGGTACCCCAGAGCCCTGCACACAACTGACGCTTCTACTTGGCCAAAAAAGGTCATCACACACTGTTCCCCAGATACCGGAGTGGAATACCTGCAGGAGTCCTCTGTTGTAGTTCGGTGTCAGTTTCATCGTTATGTCACCTAGTACAGCAGCATTAACATTATGTTACCTTAAGCAACGTGACGAAAAACATAAATATTTCCCTTCTACATTGTTCAAAAATGAAATGAATAGTCTTTGAAACATTGTACGCATTCATTCCATTCGATCAATACGATGATGAAAAGTAGCATGGTGATAGCAACATGTTCTGTTGACATTAATTCAATACAGAGGGGGTGTTCTTGATGTGAACACTGTGTGCTGTTATCACAGCTCTGCACCTCCTTGACTCAAGCTGAACAAGTCCACGGATTCCCTTATGGGATTATCTGGGATTATTGACCAGTTGAGCAAGTGCATATGGTATATGTTAACTTTTGAACTATGAAGGTGGTCGACAGTGACACGAGCTATATGTGGTGAAGTGTTGTCATGTTTAAACATGGCTGATGTTGAAGAACTTGATCGATTTACAGAGTCCCTGAACTACCACAAGGCCATATCCACCACCGTCGTTATGAGAGGGTTGTTTTTTTGTAGTTTGTAATGTCACCTTGATTAGGTGATAGTTATTATGGGTCACAATGTTTAAAGTTTTGAGTGTGGGTGTTGGCTCGCATCTCGCATCATGTATGTTCAATGGCAATAGTATTTGTAGTGGCATGCCTTTTTGACAGCGCTTCAGGGGTTGCCTCCCTTGACTAGCTTATTTATTTTGTTTTAACTTTCGGCTCTCGTCACGTCAGGTGTTTCCTGAGAGAATAAATATGGAGCCTAGCTTTGCTAGAATGCTCGAGAATTGTGTAAGAGCTATATAAAGGCTGGTTGTTGAGTAGTGCGCCACACGAATTTTCACATGACTGGATTTCTACACATCTGTGTAGTTGCTCAACATTTCAAGGCTGACCGTTCTTGTCTATTCAACTGCTGTGATTGTAAACAACCTTCAACCAGTATATCTGTTCTCTTTGTGAATGTCAAGACTCTGGACAGTGACTCTTAAACCTTTTATCACAGCAAATTATTAACCGTTACAACGTCATGTTACATGGTCTGTTCTTGTTCGGTGGTCAGTTTACACTGACTGCGTAAAAAGACCAAGATGCAAAAATTGAATCAAAACTTTGAATGTGATATCCTACTATTGTCAGACCCGTGAATTAGAATTGGTCTTCAGCAACACATGCTTCAAGAGGCGACTAAAGAGATCGGGTGGTCAGGCGTGCCGTCTTGGTTGACATATGTCATCATATCCCAATTGTGTCTATATCGATGCTGATGCTGTTGATCATTGGACCATTTGGCCCAGACTCAATTACATACAGACCTCTGCCATGTTGCTGAAATGTGGCGTGAAACAACCACCAAACATTTTGAATACAAACTAATATAATTTGTTTCTTAGTTAGTGTTTTTATAATGACCCCAGAATTTAGGTGACAATTACATCAAGCTGATCAATCTGGAATCTGAACCCGTTTTATATATATTGCGTATGCAGAGTGGTTCTGCAGAGCAAATTTTAGAGCTCTCTTTCGAAATAACTTTTGTAAACGGTCTATATCGGTCTAGTTTTTTGTTTGTTGTTTTTCTTTCTCTTTGGGGATCATGACCGTGTAGAAACAATGGCCAAGAAAGATATCAATAGTTCCATCCTCGATTATCTCCAGGGTATACGTTACGATAGCTCTCCACTATACCTTGGACGCATCTACGGCTTGGCCCGATGACTTTATTACCTCCCACATTCCCACAGTAGTCAATCAGCTAAGCCGCCGTTACAACCGAACTTGCCAGTGTAAACAAAGATAGCGGTCGCAGCCCCGAAGGTTTGTTCGCAGTGCGCCTCAGATAATTGGGGAAAACAGACAGACAAATTTGTAGGACAGAAACTTTAAACAAATATATGCAAGAACTCCTTCAACCTCTTTCAGAGTACCTCTGCATCAATTGTGTTGCCAAGTTTAATCGGTTAGATAATTTAAGAAACGAAGGTGAGTTGTGATTGGTCCGCTCAACTTCCCAGCGTAGACACCTGATTGGATAAGAAGCCAACCAAGGGAGGTCATAAATTTTTCCGGCGGAACTGTAGATGCGTCCAGGGTATAGCGGAGAGCTATCGTAACGTATACCCTAGAGATTATCGAGGATGCAATAGTTCATGATAAACAATTACTCTGATACTCAAATAAGTATGTGTCTAGCTGATTACTCACTTGGATCACATATGATGCCAACATCTTCTCTGTGGTAACAGTTATTCTCACCCCATGGCCTGTGTGAACAGCTGGCCAAAGATGATTCGGTTCCGTTGCAGTTCACATCATCTAACCAAGTCCTCCCTCTTCCAAAACCGAAACTTCGAATCTCCCTTGGTATCAGTCCGCTTTTACTAACAACAAAATAGCTATTGAATACAAATGTTGCAGCCCACCTTTGTGACTGACCGCAAACCTTTCGGTCATAGTTAAATAACCTAACCTGCATTCTACATCAAATACATACTATTGAAGGTTGAAGCCATAATTGTTGCCACATTTCCAATCCGTTTAAATGCTATTACTGTGTATCTTTCTTATTCCCTCACCATACTTCTGAAGATAAATTGCTCCACCAACTCAGAAATACATCCCCATAAGCTTTGTCGGTTTTGGTTTGCATTGTTTAACACCGTTATTCTGCCCAAATGGCAATATCCTGTATGAAAGTTTTATACATATTTTACACATGGTGTCTTACTATCGCCCTAGTTGTCTGCAGGCCACTTTAGCTTCCTCTTCACCAAAGTGATCGTGACACACAGTGCCCCATGTGCCGTTATAGTAAACCTCAAGTCTCCCAACACCGTTGTCCAGTGGGGACACCAGTCGGATTGTCCTGCCAAACACTGGAAATATAAAGATGACTTGTCAGTATCAAACAACGATGACTGAACATTGCTTCACAGCCACAGAAAAATATATACTCTCTCAAAACAGAAATGCATACATGTAGGTGATATTTATTTTCATTTTCTTTTCACAATTAGTGTTTGATTGTTATAATTTCGCCATTATAATGCCGGTTTGTGTACAAATGCACTGTGCAACAACGCATCTTCAGGATTTTTTTTACGCACGTTTAGGTTCCAAGTTTCAACTTGCAAGTGGTTCGCAATATGCACGTGAAGAATCGTGAGCGGGGACATTGCATATATCAGGCCGTTTTGCTTTTACACGGTCATTGGCTTTTTTAGTTAAAAAAACGAAGATCGTTATCGGCTCACTGATGTAAATCGAAACATTGCGATTGAACGTCTGGAGGCTGGGGAATCTCAAGCTACCGTTACGCGTCACCTCAATGTTCACCAGAGTACCGCGAGTCGTGTATGGGACCAATTGAATGCAAGAGTGACCTCAAAGTAGTAGACCCAAGATTACCACCGGAGCGCAGAATATGTACACCCGGGTACATCATTTGCGGAATCGTTTACGAGAAGCTGGACTTCTAGCCCGAAGACAGGCCCTGTTTTGGCCCTCTTAGGCAACGAGTACATCTACGTCGACGGGTCAATTGGTGCAATACCGTCCGATTCTGGAATCTACGGAACTGTGTATGGTTCAGTGACGAAGCACGCTTTCTGCTTCAGTGCCGTGACGGAAGAGTACGTGTCTATCGACGTCGAAATGAACATTTTAACCCGAATTGTATCACGTAGGTTGACCGATATGGTGGTTGGTATGCAACGATGTCGGGAGCCGTATCCTACTCGCAGAAATCTCACATTGTGCGTCATCAGGGCAATTAAACTGCTATTCGGGAACAGAGACGATAGTTTAAGGATTCACATGGTTCCGATCACTCACCGCCGGAAGCGGTTATTGAACCATGCTTCCAGACGTTAGATCAACTGCCGTAGGCATTGCAATAGGAATGGGCCAGAATTATACAATATCGAATTCAAAGGGCTATTTAATCCATGCCGAGACGGTGCAAAGCAGTTTTGCGGGCTCATGCAGATATTGAAGACAACGCCCATAGTGGGCACAACAGATATTGAAGACAACTCCCTTAGTGGGCACAATAGATACTGAAGGCAACGCCCATAGTGGGCACAACAGATATTGAAGACAACGCCTTATAGTGGGCACAACAGATATCGAAGACAACGCCCGTAGTGGGCACAACAGATAATGAAGACAACGCCCATAGTGGCACAAATATATACTGAAGACAACGCCCAACTGGGAAGAGATGCTTCACCTTTTATAGGCTATAACATAACCATCTATTGGTATGTCAATGTCACATATGTTCTCGTCACGAAATGGCTGCATTTATGGCCGATGTGACGCGTTAAATAATAACTCACTCACTCAATATACATATTAACCAATAATTGATTTTTTATACTGTGACATTTGGCCGCAACTGATCCGTAATTACATGTTACCACTGTTTAATTTCGTGGAAAATACACTACGCTGCTTCTTTATATTTAGAGTATATTAGGTAATTTGCAATTCAACATACTACAGCAAATATTCAAGCTGGAAATGTTTCAACTCGATCGCATGTACTCAAGTACCGAATTAAGATGGTTTGCAGATACAGAACTATCTCTACAGAATATTGCCAATCAGACATTTCT